GTAGGTGTTCCCCACATGCAATCCACAGCCTTGCAGTGGCTCTTCCTCAGAGCCTCACATAGCTCACTCTTCCCACCAGCAGCTCAGCTTGCAGCCAAATGACCATGAGAGGTACGTGTGCAGGAAGTGTCTGGTGTGCAGTCTGTGCTCACCTGTCACACTTGAATCTCAATCAGCATCTGATGTAAGGAAAAGCTGGCTCAGCCAGGCTTAGAGAGGCAGCTAAGGCCAGACCTGAGAGCACACTGCAGGGGTGGAGTTGGGGGTCTCCGACTATACTGCCTGCTGGGGCATTTTAAGGGGCAGCGGGGCCTGGGGTGCAGAGGTGGGTCAGGTGTGGATGGTGAGAAGGTTGCAGCCAGCACCTGTTGATGCTGGGTCCCTACAGGGTGGAGGCAAGAAGAGCTGAAGAAAGAGTAACGGGTGTACACAGAGGGAGGGTGGGATGGGGTGACTGCAGAGTTGGACAGAGAAGATATTCAGCAGCAGGAAAGGCGTCCAGAGGGTAGGTGGAATTTTTAGGGACTTCTAGGCACAAGTGTGGATTATAAGTCCCAGCACTCTTCATCTTTCTGGGCAACCTGGAGCCAGTTTTTTGACCCTTCTGTGCCCCCATTTTGTTATCCGTCAAGGCTTTTGTGTTGGCTGAGTACAAACTCCTGGATTATTTACAGTAACTCTGTTGTGTGAACTGTCCTCATCCCCATTATACAGAGACACAGAGAGGTTAAGTAACTCATCCTGGGTCACCCAGCCAGAAGTGGAGCTGAGACAGAAGTGCAGGCTCTGGCTCTCCCAGCCATGGCCCTGATGCTTGTACCGTGGCATGTTTCTATATCCCTGGACTGTACCTCCTCCTGTATCCTTCTCCAACTAGAAGGCATGTTTGTTGAGGTTGGGGACCATCACTGTGCTAGCATAACACCTGGCCAGGGCAGGTGCTCGATAAACGTTTGTGGAATGAATGAGGTGGGTGTCCATAGGGGACAGTTCAGCTTCCCCCTTGAAGTGACACAGAGCCCCTCGGCTCACAGTTCAGTGGCTGAAGCATGTCCTACAGCCCCCTCCCTAGAGTGGCCAGGAAAGTGAAGTCCTGCTGCGAGAGGAGGCCGTGGGGGCCCGGGGCCACACCAAAGGCCCACCTCTGGCCTGTGTGATGCTTGGTAGACCTCTGGAGCTCTGTGCGGGGGGCGCGGGTGGATGGAGAACTCACCGCCCAGCAGGGCCACTACCGACAGATTGGGGAAGGAAGGGCTTCATTACATGAGCTAGGAGTTGGGGAGGTAGCAAGGGCCCAATGGCAGGGGATTCCCACCAGTAAATGACAGCTCTCTGGCCAGCTGTCTGCTGTCAGGGAGGCTTTTGAGGACCTGTCACTCCTTCAGGAAGCCTTGTGGAGATGCCCAGCCCTGCCCTGGAGCCAGCCCCAGCCGGCCGTCCAGTCACAGCTCCTCCCCCGCTCCCCTTGGGTCAGTGGCAAGCTCCTTGTCACCCGCCCAGGCCCCATCACTAGGCGTCCTCGATTCTGCAGCATCGCCCTTGAAGTCTGCCAGGTGGAATCCATCCCCCGTACCAGGTTAAAGCTCAAAGCCAACACCATCGTGGACCCACTGCTCCTCGTCCTTCCTGCCCCTACCTCCACTGCCCCCACCTCAGCCACCCCCATCACAGATCCCTCAGCTAATATTGACCTCTGCCCTCAGACTGTGTCCTCGACCTGGCCCCCTCCCGCCTCTGCTGCAGCACGCCTGGGTACCCGCAGAAGCCCCTCACTCAGCTGCCGGCTGGGCCCTGGCCCGTGATCTCCCCAGCACAGCATCACCCATGTGGACTTAGGACCCCCATCACTGCCCTCTTCACAGCACTCTGGGCCTTCTCAGCCCACCTGGGAGAAAGCCAGACCCCTCCCCACGGCCTGCAGCACAGTGCCATCTGCCCATCGGCCTACTGCCCCCTTTGCCTTCCCCCGGGGTCCCTGTGTTCAACCCTGGAGCAGCCTCTCAGGTCTCCCCATCCACCTCAGGGCCTTTGTCCTCACTGTCACCTCTCCTCAGGAAACCGCCTGATCCCTCAGTCTGTGTCCCCTGTTGCCTGCCCAGACTAGGCCTCTCGGCTGTACCCACAGGGGCCCACGGCCTACTCCCACCCCACGTTCACCAGGTGAAGCCTGGCACAGCAGACACACGGTGCTCCCTGATCCCGAAGAGCCCACATGCCCACCTCCCACAGTGCCTTCCCTTCTCCCCTGTGCTCTGAGTGCCTCCAGGGCCAAGGAGCCTTGTCCTGGAAGTCCCTGGACATAGCACATGAACACCAGCAGGTGGATGGGGGCAAAAAAAAAAGCAGCCACTGGCCGGGGAAGCAGCAGAAGGCGGGACCCGTCTGGGCCTGAACCTGGGCACTGCAGCAGTGGCCTGGAGGGACCAGGCAGCCTGGGTGTGGGGCAGAGCATGCACCTGTGTGGGGAGGGACCAGGCAGCAGGGGTGGGGGCAGCCCAGCCCAGCTCCCCCAGTCACTGCCATAGGAGCCAGGGATGCCAGAAGGTCTGACTTTTCAGAAGCCAGAAATCCAGATTTTTTGTGCACTCTTCCAGTTTTTAAATACTAGCAACTAACTAGAATTCTTTTTGTTAACGGTGTGTGAGCCAAAGAAAACCCAACTGTAGGTGAACCATGGCAACCCCTCCCCTGGAAGCTGAGGGAGGGAGAAGAGGGTGTAGGCTAGAGCTGGCATGGAGCAGGGTGGTGAGGACCCAGGGTCTGCTCTGGCTGTGGCCATAGAGGCCTGGGGCATTGGAGCAGTTCTTGGTTGGAGACCCCGAATCATAGGCATGTGATCTTGTGAACAGTGAAACCCTGGTCCTTCTGTCCTGGGGCCCTGGGACAGGTAGGGACCAGGGCCACTCCATTACCACTTCTGTGCCAGGACAAAGCTGGCTGGCGGCTGCTCCCTGCCACACTCCTGGGGACAAGCTTAGGGGGGTGGCCGTCCTGGGGTAAAAATAGCAGGGTCACCTTGCAGTCAGGAGGCTTGCTTTCACTTGCACGTGGAAATGCAGTGTTGGCAGTGCATTGCTCTCAACCAGGAGCTGTGCAGGTTATGCAGCAGGTGGACACCGGCTTTCGTCTCCATTCCCCGCCCCGGGGACAGAAGAATACAGACCTCTACCCACTGGGGTAAGGGGTCAGGTCCAGCCCCCTAGTTAGTGGATGACCCAGCCGATTATACCCCAGCACGGGTACTGGGTGTGCCATGAGGCAAGGGAGCACAAGCCACACTGGGCCCCTCGCAGATTCTTGAGGAAGCACATGTCCCTGGAGGGTGTCCCAACTGCTTGACAGCCCCCGGTGGCTCTGAGGACTCAGGGCAGGGGGACATGGAGCCAGTCTGGCCTGATGGCTCCACACAGCTCCCTGAATGGCCTGGCAAACTCCGCAGAGAATGACACCCATCCTCCAGGGTCACGTGTGGCCATCTTCAAATCCCTCCTCTCACACCAGTCTGTCCTTTGTTTTTGAGACGGAGTCGTGCTCTCTTGTCTAGGCTGGAGTGTAATGGTACAGTCTCAGCTCACTGCATCTATGCCTCCCGAGTTCAACGATTCTCCTGCCTCAGCCTCCTGAGTAGCTGGGATTACAGGCGTAGGCCACTACGCCTGGGTAATTTGGGATTTTTAGTAGAGATGGGATTTCACCATGTTGCCCAGGCTGGTCTGGAACTCTTGACCTCAGGTGATCCACCCACCTCGGCCTCTCAAAGTACTGGAATTACAGGTGTGAGCCACCACACCCGGCCCAGTCTCTCTCCTTTGACCACCAGGACCACCCTGCCAGGTCAGCCAAGCAAGAGACGTACCACAAGATGGGCAGGACGTCTGAGGCTCGAAGGGAGAAGAGGCCTGCCAGGGCTCACATGGCCAGAGTGCCACACGGAGGCAGGGCCTGCTCCCAGGGCTAGTAGGAGCAGCAGGGTCAATGCCATGGTCCCGCAGCCTGCCTGGCACTAGGCCCCATCAGTCCACAACATGTGCCCATTCCTGCACAGGCCTGGCTCTGCACACATCCTGGGCACTGAGAGGCTTGAGCCAGCGGAATGACCCATGCTCTGGGGGCCTGGTCTCCACTGGACACACTCAGCCCTGCAGGGCCAGCCCTGCTGCTGCTGTGACTTCCAGCTAGAAACACTGCCCCTCTGCACTTCCGTCACGCTCCCATGAATTGGGACTCGGCATAGAAACCTCTCATGGTAGTTACTGAGTGCGTCGTTGCAAGCATCTGACTACTTCCTCAGTGTTTACAACAGGGAAGCCAGGGCCCCTGGAAGGCCATATGGCTGTCGGGCTCCTGAGTACCTCAGGTAACCAGAGTGCTGACCTCCCCGAGTGGGAATCGGGTAAGTGAGTTTGCACAGGGTGCCTTGACAACGGTGTGAGTGCCTCCTGCCGGTGCTGCGGCTGCTGTTCCTTATTGTCCGTTGACAGGTGGAGGGTTCCAGTCTGCTTGGAAGTGCAGTCAGGGGCGGTGGCTTTCACACTGAGGGGCAAAGGGAGTTGGGCCGGACAGGGATCCTAATTCTGAATGTGTGTGCGGACTTTTGGGGCCAGTGCCGGGCAGCCGAGAAGGGACTGCAGGCAGGGCAGGAGAGTGACGGCCTGGCCCCAGCACCCACGGAAGCACCCCTGCATCCAGCTCAGCCCATTATTTGTACAAGGTCTGGGCGAGTCTAGTTGAAGACTTTTGTACCAGGCTCCCCACATTTGGGATTTGGGACAGGGCAAGATGCCTGGAGCCTAGGATCTTCCAGTGCCAGCCTGGGCTCTTAAGTCCCCACTCAGGCAGGAGTTGGAACTAGAGACCCCAAAATACCTACAGGGATGAGGGCTGGTGCAATTGGGCAGGGAGGGAGAATGTCAACCATCCACTGAGCGGAGATTCCCCCCCCAGTTGCCTGGCAGGTGGCTGGGCAGCTGGGGCTGAGTGTGTTTCTTGTCCCACCCCAGGAAGCCTGAGAAGGGAGTCCAGTACCTCATCGAGCGTGGCTTCGTGCCAGACACGCCTGTGGGGGTGGCCCACTTCCTGCTGCAGCGCAAGGGCCTCAGCCGGCAGATGATCGGCGAGTTCCTGGGCAACCGGCAGAAGCAGTTCAACCGCGACGTGCTAGAGTGAGTGCTGCAGGGTGGGACCCGATTCCACACGTGCCCTCATGCACCCTGGGCATACACAGGGCCGGGCCTACACTGCTTACTGGGACATGGGCTGGGCCCCTACTTCTCTGTTCTTAACTTCTAGACACACACAGGCAGATGCCCCACATCTGCCCAGCACACAGGTGGGCACCTGCTGTCCCACACGTGGACCCCATTGCCAGTACAGCTGCCCTCTGGCATGCACCCTAGCCCCTCCCTTCCCTCCATCCCTAAGCACAATTGTTCCGACCCGGCGCTGAGCATCACAGCCCTTAGTGACTCACGTTCCTGCAGCCTCCCACAGCAGGGCTGGCAGGAGCCCCTTCCCCTGGCCTGGCTGCCCTCCTCCTGCATGGACTGCAGGCCCTGCCTGCTCCTGCTCACCCCTGGGGTGAGCAGTAGGGAGCCAGACCAAGTGAGCTGCCTCCCTGTGGACAGCCATGCCAAGCTCTGACCCTGGTTCATTCTCCCAGCTGGGAGATTTGGGCTACGTGTCTATCCCTACCTCCTGATCCCACAGCTCCCCCCAGCTCAGAGAGCTGGCGAGCATAGCACTCTCAGCTACTTGAAGCCCTGCAGAAAAATGGGCTCCCAACTCTCTGAGCCAGTACAGCGGGCCAGGAAGAGCAGTCAGAGCAGGATAACATGCTGGCCGTCCTATAGCAGGGGCAGTCCCTTCCAGCCGTGCAGTCCTGCCCATGTGCAGCCAAGGGGACCAGCGACGGCCAGGGAGCAGGTGCCCAGGAGCAGCAGTCCCTGGAACACGAGGCCTCACGTTCCTGGGGCTGGCCAGTTCACCTGCCGTCTCTGCTGCTTCCCTAGGAGGCAGCGGGTGCCGTCGCCCTTTTTGTCTCATAGGTGGGGAAACTGAGGCTCAGAGTGGGAGCTGGCCTGGGCACACACCCCCATACACACAGACTCACTTGCATAGGTACTCATGTAGTCCCAGGCCCACACCCAGGAGGCTAAGTGTGGACAGCGCATGGCAGGCACCAGCAGAACGTCCATGCCCTTGGTTGGCCAACCATGCGCAGGCTGGGTGCCTTTCTCCCTGCTCAGCACCTGAAGAAGCCTACTGTATCGATAGGGTGCTACCGCCCCTCCCCTCTTTGAAGCAGACATGAGGAAATGTCCACGGGAAAGCGCAGGAGCTCCTTGGTGAATGCCCAGCTCCCGCCCCATCCCCTGCAGCCATTCCCACACTGCCCCGACTCTCCGCTCTAAGCCGATCCCTGGTCCTTAGGAAATCCGCACATTGTTCTCCTCATGTCAGAAAATAGCAGTGGCCTCAGGAAGTGGCAGGCTTCCCCAGGCCACCACCCCAGGCATCTGCAGGGCCACTGCGCCTGCTGCTCAGCAAATCCTCTGCCTGCTCCCTGCTGCCCTCTCCCCACTGCTCCACAGCCACCTTCAAGGCTGTTGCCCCAGGAGGCCTTGAGCACTTGGAGGAGGGTGGAAGCAGCTGCATCACCCCTGTGCAGGGATGGCCCTGGGAGAGTCAGGCCTGCCTAGCCAGGCCTCTGCCCCATGAGAGTGACTGCAGCGTCATTAGGGAGCTGGGCCAGAAGCTGGAGCCTGCCCCAGAGTTCCTGGTGCAGGGGTCACCATAGCAAGAACTGGAAGGGTGTGCTGGGGGCAGGGCCATGGGAAGAATGTAGAGACCATTCATCAGCCACCCCTCCAGGCTCTGCGCCACAGATGAGAGTGTATGGCCCGTTCAAGTCCCTGGAAAAGCACCTGCAAAACCCAGCCCACCACCCTGATACTCTCCTCACAAGAGGACAGGCTCGTTCTGAAAGTCAACACCCTCGGCACCCCTTTCCTCACTGTGAAAATGGCAGCCAACTCCCCAACCCCATGCAGAAGGAGAGGAGACTCACGGTAGCGTCCACTGTGTGCCTAGTGAGGGTTGTGCTTAAAAATGTTTGTCTTTTGGGAAGGGCTTTGATCCAAACAACCATATGCTCTGCCCCTCTGAGAAAACTGTCCATGTAAATATAGGCACACATGCTTCCCTAGATCCAGGGGCTTCACGGGCTCCCCAGAAGCCTGGAGGTCTTTTTGCTGCATTCTGAAGGCTCTTGGCTGATTGGATGGAGTCAGGCAGGGGCCCTCCCTGCCAGGAGGCAGCCCATTCCTGGGACTCCAGGCACCATCACCTGGGCGTGGGCTGGGTGTGTTGCACCCACAAGGGGTGTTTATGTGGGACCATCTGTCTCTGTTCTAGCTGTGTGGTGGACGAGATGGACTTCTCTGCGATGGAGCTCGACGAGGCCCTCAGGAAATTCCAGGCGCACATTCGTGTCCAAGGAGAGGCTCAGAAAGTGGAGCGGCTCATCGAGGCCTTCAGGTGGGGCCCGCGCTGGCTAAGGGTGCTGCATCGGGGGAGGACAGTGTCCCCAGCTTCAGAGCCCGAGGATGGACCAAAGGCTGCATCCCAGTCATCCCTAGACAGGGCCATGTCTTCCTGAGTATTGCTTTTGGGGTGACCGTAGTGGTCCCTCCTGCATTCCAGGCACTGTGTCAGACTCCTTTCAGCCATTGTGAGGTGGTGCGGGTGGAGGAGACTGTACTGATTATTCTAATTGTGTGAAGATAAGGAAACCAAAGTTGAAAGAGGTTTTGATCGCGACTGCTAGGATTCTTGGTGTTCAAATCGGGATTCTGAATGCTCTTCCTCCAAGTTCCCCACAGCTCTGCGTTCATCCACGGTCCGTCTGTCTAGTCATTCATTTGCTTATTCACAAGGAGCAGCACAGTGACTCAGAGCACAAGCCAGACAGCCAGTTGCCTGGTTCAGTCACCGACTCCACCACTTACCGGCTGTGTGGCCCTGTGCTGGTTACTTAACTTCTCTGTGCTTCATTTCTTCACCTGTGAAGTGGAATAACAATAGCACATACCCTAGACAGGGGTGCAAGGACAAAATGACACAGGACACATGGGCACACTTAGCCCAGCTCCTGACCCAACAGTGAGCCTGTGGTCACTATGCAGTCCTCCATTCTGGGACTGCATGCAGACTGGCTGTGGAGGAGTCTGTGTGTTCAGTGCTGGGGTGGGTGGCACCAGTCAGCTGCTAACCCAGCCCTCTGGGCTCAGCACCAGTGGTGGGCCAGGAGGATTGAGGATACAGAGGGAGGACAACCCCAGGGCCCTGGCGGGAGGCAGCATGCACCCACTTCCTTCCAGGATGGCTTCCTGGAGGGGAGGGCACTAAGCTGGGCTTATGAGCCTCAGTCCCGGTACTTTGCCTGGCTCATCTGCTCTGTCCCTGCCTCTTGTCACCTGCCCCTCCACAAAGTCACCAATGGAGGGGCTCCTGGGGTGGCAGCAGGAGTGGCAAGCAGGCTGACTCTAAGGCGGTGGATGTTCTCGCAGCTGTCGGTCCACAGCTGTTGAACCTGAGGCCCCTCAGTAGCCATGGCTGAGACAAGGCAGGGTGCCTCTCCCTCTGAGCTGGTGTGGAGGCCTGGGCTCCTTTCACCTGCCCTCGAGGGCAGGCCCGAAACCCACTGTGACATTCCCATTGCAGGCAGCAGGGAGAGGGGCCCAGCCTTGCAGGGCAGGAGGGACTGCAGTAGAGTGAGGAGGGCGAGTGGGTAGTCAGGGCCAACTCTGATAGGCAGGCATGATCCTCACTCACCAGAGGCAGGAGCTGAGGCTCAGTGGCGTGTGACAGCCTCTGCTGGTGAGAGAGGGGCCGTGCTTCTTGCTGCACCGTGCACCATGGCTCTGACCCCCTCCCTCCCATCCCGCAGCCAGCGCTACTGCATCTGCAACCCCGGAGTGGTGCGGCAATTCCGGAACCCAGACACCATTTTCATTCTGGCCTTTGCCATCATCCTGCTGAACACCGACATGTACAGCCCCAATGTCAAGCCCGAGCGCAAGATGAAACTGGAGGACTTCATCAAGAACCTCCGAGGTGAGCTGTCTCAGGCAGTTGGCCATCCGCAGACTTGCTCCTGCACCTGCCGTGGACAGGCCCTCCCCAGGTGTGAGGGCAGACAGGGGCGTGAGGCAGCCTTGAGCTGGGGAGCTGGGCTCTAGCACTCCAGGGCCTGGTATGGAGGGGCCTTCGGGGAGCACAGCAGAGATGACTGGAAAGAGCACTGCCTGAGAGGCGCCCCCGTGGGGCACAGGCCAGAGCCTTGGGGTGTTGGGAAACCTTCCTTGCGGGGAAGGTGACACTGTTAGCTTGTCCTTGAAGGGTGAAACTGGCGTTTTTTTTTGTCTTTTTACCTAAAAGTATATATTTTAAAAGGGGACTTGACATCGCTACTGTAAATAGAAAACCAGTAGCATTTGCCTGGTATAGAAAGTAATTATAAAAACAAATGCAATGAAAAGAAAGCAGTGCTGCTGAATTCTAGCCGGTGCAGCTTCCGGCTGCTGGCACTGGGGTGCAGACCCGGCTCCCTGCTCTTGGGGAGAAGGGCATGTGCCGGGAGGTGTGGATGCAGGGTCTGTGGGAAGCGAGTCCTCCTTTCGTGATCAGAGACAGGAAAGGAGCTAAAAGGCTGTGACCTTCTACTAGGCAGCTCCATGCCAGCCCAGTGTGTCCCTTGTGCGCCCCAGAGGCCCTGGAAGGAAGGGGGAAGGCACTGTGTCCCTCTGCCCCTGTGGGAACCCTGGCTGCAAGAGCTGAGGGTGGGTTGAAAGGACAGGGACTGAGGGTTCCTTGGAAAGGGTGTCACTATTTGTCAAAGCAAAGAAGAGCTGGTGTGAATCCAACCCGGCTTTAAGACTGTGTGGAGCTGACAAAGCTGTTCATTCTGTTTATTCGGTGGTGGTTCTGCCACCCCCTCTCCTTGGACAGGGTCACTCCAGGGAGCAGCTCCAGCTCCACTCCGGGGTCTCAGGTGCTCTCCCCTTCCCCTGGTGGTGGGCGCCACTGTGGCAGGAACCCCAGGCAGCAGAGGTTACGGGGAGATGGCACCCAAGCTAGGCTCCAAGACTAGAGTGGTTCTGCCACCTCCCTTGGGAGGCAGGAAGGGGTGCTGAGCGGACTGCAGGATGGCTTAGAGCTCACAGACAGCCATTCCCTGCACCCAGCAGTCACTGCATGTGGCCTCCTACTATGTCAGAGGGGCATGGCAGGCCCTAAGTCTGTCAAGTCTGTAGTTCCTGGGAACCAAGGCATCTTGGGAGGTCCCAAGGGCCACGAGTGGACACTTTTTTGGTGCAACAGATGTACTCCCAGGCCCAGGTGTCCAAGCAGCAGCCAGGAGGCCGGGGCCTCCTCTGCATCCACCCGGGGCCTCCCTTACCCTGAGCCTCCCCATGGGGCCGAACCTGTTTCTGGGATTCACAGCCTCCCACATGACCCCCGATAGAGGCTGGCCGCTCATCACCTCCAGGAAAGCCAGCTGTGTGCTGCAGGCTGTTGGCAACCTAGGGGGAGTTTGAGGGCCTCTGATTTCTTTTAATTAATTAATTTATTTTATTTTATTTATTTATTCATATTTAGAGACAGGGTCTCCCTCTGGCAGCCCAAGGGCAGTTTGAGGATCTCTGATTTGTTTAAATTTATTTATTTATCGAGACACAGTCTTACTTTGTCGCCCAGGCTGGAGCTCAGTGGTGCAATCATATCTCACTTTACCCTTGACCTCCCAGGCTCAAGAGACCCTCCCGCCTCAGCCTCCCAGGTAGCTGGGACCACAGGCACAAACCACCATGCCCGGCTAATTTTTAATTTTAATTTTTTCTAGAGGTAGGGTCTCACTATGTTGCTCAGGCTGGTTTCAAACTCCTTGGCCTCAAGTGATCCTCCAACCTTGGCCTCCCAAACTGCTGGGATTACAGGCTTAAGCCACCATGTCTGGCCTGATTTGTTTTTTTCTTACTTTAGAACCTCTTGCATGTCATCTGGGACTCCCCTGAATGAGAAATAACAGGAGGAATCAGTCAGAAATGACTGGCCCAGAGCAGAGGCTTGGTGGGCAGGGCTGCTGAGTCAGGTGGTGGCCAGCCCACACCCCTGTGGCAGCGGCTCTGTGGTTCCTGTCCATGGTTACACCCAATCCTGCCAGCTCTCTGGGCAACAGGGTGGCAGGAACCTCCCTGCTTCCCATGGAAGGGGCTGAGTACCCCAGTCCCAATGAGGGAGCTGCAGGCTCTGTCTCCCAAGCCTGGGCTGTCCCCACCAAATCACCCCTTTTCAGCCCGGAGCTCAGGACGTTTTTTCTCATCTTCCTTGTGCACCCCAGGGTCACGTCAGCCAGGAAATGGCAGAGGCCGGGCAGGTCCCTGGTCTCCCAGAGCCAGCCTGGTGCTCGGTGCCGAGTGTATGGATAGCTTGTCCTTTTTGTAGGGAAATCCTCGCCTCCACCCCAACACACATCCTCTCTGGAGTGGGTCACCCCAGTGTGTCCAGTGGGTCCCGCAGCAGGAGAGTCCTGGGGGCTGGAGGACTGTGAAGAAGGAGCAGCTCACCACAGACGCCAGTCTAAGAGGATTTCCTTTTTATCAAAGTTTGCTTTAAATTTTTTTATTTTTTTATTCACATAGTTGAAAAACCAGAAAATATGATCCAACAGTTGTGCTCCTTGATATTTACCCAAATGAACTGGAAAGTTAGGCCCATGGAAAAACCTGCACACCGATGCTTATAGCAGCTCTATTCAAAACTGTCAAAACTTGGCAACCACCAGATGTCCTTGAGCAGGTGGAGGGATAAATAAACTGCGTTCCTTCAGACAGTGGAGTAGTGCTTAGCACAAGAGAGAAGTGAGCTATCAGCCATGAAGAGACGTGGAGCAACCTTAAGTGCATAGCCCTGAGTGAAAGAGGCCAGTCTTTTTTTTTTTCTTTTTTTTTTTTGAGACAGAGTTTCGCTCTTGTTACCCAGGCTGGAGTGCAATGGCGCGATCTCGGCTCACCGCAACCTCCGCCTCCTGGGTTCAGGCAATTCTCCTGCCTCAGCCTCCTGAGTAGCTGGGATTACAGGCACGCGCCACCATGCCCAGCTAATTTTTTGTAGTTTTAGTAGAGACGGGGTTTCACCATGTTGACCAGGATGGTCTCGATCTCTTGACCTCGTGATCCACCCGCCTCGGCCTCCCAAAGTGCTGGGATTATAGGCGTGAGCCACCGCGCCCGGCCTAAGAGGCCAGTCTTAACAGGCTGCATGTTCTGTGATTCCAACTCTATGACATTCTGAAAAAGACAAAACTATGAAGACAGGAAAAGGATGGGTGGCTGCCCAGGGCTGAGGGAGGAGAGGATGGGTAGGCGAAGCTCAGGGGATTTTTAGGGCAGAGACACTGTTTGGGGGATGCTATAATGGTGGATGAAGGTCGTTCTACGTTTGCCCAAACCCACGGAATCACAACACCCAGAGTGGACCCTAATCTAAAACACGGACCTCGCATGATGCTGATGCGTCAGTGTAAGCTCATCATTGTGCCAGTGGAGCACTGTGTTGAGAATGGCAACAGCAGGGGAGGCTGTGAGTGTCGGGGGTCAGGGCATACATGGGAAATCCCTCTGCCTTCTGCTCAATTTTGCTGAGAACCTCAAACTGCTCTAAAAGTAAAGTCTATTTAGGAAAAAGAAAATACTGGAAGGTGCCTAGCAGAGTTTCCTTCCCAGCCTGCCCTGCCTGCTCGGGGCATAGCCTCTGCCCCTGAAGGTCCTCGGTTCTGGTTCCCCTAGCCGTGCCCCCTAGCTGTGCTGCGCTCATGAAATGCACATGTGCAGAAATGACTTTACCCTCTGCTACTTTGCACTTTACTTTTCCCACTTACTAAGTCTAAGAAACGGCCCATGTGCTTTACTGTGGCCTTCCTCACTGTCCTTGGCAGGTAGGTAGTAAGTAGCCTGTCATGCTGATATGTTAATGGATACACCGGTTACTTCCAGTCTTTTGCCATTTAGAAACAGTGCCGCAGTAACTTGTATGCATCTCATTTCCCGTGGAATAAGTTCCCCCACATGCAGTCAGTGGACCAGAGCGTGCTAGAACTTGTCATTTGGACAGGCATTGCCAGGTTGCCTACCCCAGGGTGGAGCATCTCCTGTCCTGCCAGCCATCTGTGGGAGACCCCTCTTCCCCAAGCCCTGCAGCCCTTCGGACTGCAGCCTGGCGGAGGGGTGAGGGTGGAGCTCACTGCGAAGTGAGTTTGCATTTCCCGTGTGTACAGGGTGTCTCTCTGCTCACAGCAGTTTTCAGAGTGGGGAGGAAGAAAGCGGTGTGTGCTTGTGGCTAGGGTAGCCCCGGGTCAGAGCCCAGCTTCCAGCCCCTGCCCACGTGATGTGGGCCAGCGGCAGCAACCACTGCAGCACTCTGACCGCTCAGATGCAGAGCCGGGCACGCCCCGGGTGCCCCTCGTTTCCTCACAACGAGCCTGTGCTCTAGGTGACCTATTTTAGAGGAGGACACCAAGCACGGGTGACGCAGTCACTCCTCCGTAGTCACACAGCTAGTAAGGGTGAAAGTAGAACATGGCACCAGGTCCATCGGAGCCCACACTCACACACCCCAGCCTCCTTTCACTCCAGCCTCCCCACACCTCAGCCTCAGCCTTCCCATCTGTGGAATGAAGATGCACACTTTGCAGGGCTGTGGTTAGCATGGAGCAAGGTAGCATTTATAAAGCCCTCTGAACATGGCTTAGAGGTGTCTCAGTCCCTGACATGCATCACCTACTAGTCCGGGTCAGATGTGCAGGGACTGTTCCTGGTAAGAGGACTCAGGAAATTTGTGTTGACTGAAAATGTCCTGTTGCTGTGGGCCTGCCTGGGAGGTCTTTGGTTCTGTTGGGTCTGCTGGAAGGTTCGCTCCTCTGATTTGCTTTAGAAACTGGTAAATTGAGTGAGCCTGGGGCCCACCCTGATATCCAGCTGCATCCCCTGCCCAGGTGTGGACGATGGCGAGGACATTCCCCGGGAGATGCTGATCGGGATCTACGAACGGATCCGTAAGCGAGAGCTGAAGACCAATGAGGACCACGTGTCCCAGGTGCAGAAGGTGGAGAAGCTCATTGTGGGGAAGAAGCCGGTACGTGGTGGGCCCAGGCACCACCTGGGCAGGGCTGCCTGCCAGGCCTTCTCACTCCCACCCACCCACTCCATGTGGTCCCTTCCAGCAGGGCTAGTGAATTCTGCCAGGGCTTGGGGATTTTCCGAGCGACTCCTGTCCTATTTGGGCACGACAGCTATTGACTCTGCGTTACATCTGAAAAGAGCCAAGGCTCCTAATAATCGGGCAGGGGTTGTACAGTGGCTCGGTTCTGGGCCTCTGACACTGGTGGCCTTTCCTGGGTGGCCCAGGAGTCCCCTGGGACCTCTCAGAGAACTCTGCCAGCGAGAGCGGGTCCCCCACATACTGGCTGAGTGGAGCCCGAGGGGAGGTGTAGGGAGGGCACTTGCAGCATGGGCCTGGGCGTGGCCTTGAAACATGAACACCCTTTTGTTGGTTTCGCGTTCTCCCGCAGATTGGATCCCTGCATCCTGGGCTCGGCTGTGTGAGTATTTTTCTCTGCTTTTACCTTCGTGGGTAGCCCATCGCCCTGGGGAGGCCTAGTATCCTCAGTCACTCCACCAGCTCCCCAGGCTCCCAGAGCTCGAGTGCTGATGGCTTGAGTTCCTTTCTGGGGCCCAGACCCCGGACCCAGCACCTGAACAGACCCCGGTGTGTCCTCTGAGGCCCTGCCCTGTCTGCTTCCCCACCCTGCTCTGAGCTCCGTCCCCCACATTCCATGCCTTGGGCTCTCCCAGTGCCTGCCTCCTCACCCCCAAGACCCATCCTCTGCCATAGCTTTGTGGTGTGCCCACATGCCCCAGAGCACATGCACACCGGGTGACCTGGCCACTCGCCATGACCCTCCTCATGGACTGGCCTCGTCCCTCAGTCCTGAAAGTAGCTCCCCTTTACCAGCTTCCCCTGCAAGAGACCAGGCTTCTCCTTCCAGCCCTTGCTCCCTGACCCTCCTATCTTCTCTCCTTCACGCCTTTGCAACCTGAGCACCCCAGGCTGGGCCACATTTTTCCCCCTCACCTTAACGCCCCCATGAGCCAAACTCAGGCAGCCCTGGCCCAGAGCGCGCCCCTGGCAGAGTCAAGCCCCTGGCCTCAGGGCAGTGATCCTAGGGATCCACCCCTTTGACCCTCTCCCCTGTCCTGCATGAACCTGAGCACTCCCAGAGCCGGGCCCTGATGGCTCATCCCTCGCCCTGAGGCATTGGGTTTCAAGGGCAGCCGGAGCTATGGCCATGTTGGAGCTTGCGTGAGCCGTCAGGGGCATGTTCAGGGCAGGTGTGTGGAGTGGAGGGTGGGGTCTGGGCAGGTGCCACAGAGTGTCAGCTGCTGGATCAGGATTTTGGAGTCTTTGAGGCATCAGAGCTATAGGAGTATTTTAGGGGGAGACTTGGTAGGGTGGTGAAAATCCTGGGACCTGGAATCAGATCCTGGCACTGCCCACTTCCTGGTTTTGTCGCTATTTACCCTCTGTGCCTCAGTTTCCTCATCTAGAGTAGATTCTCTCTGTAAAGACTTTTGGGCTGAGTGGGCTCATGTCTATGACCAGCACGTTGCGGGGACTCAAAATGTGACTTGCTGCCTGGCCAGAGGCTCCCAGGTGAACGTGATAGTTTAAGAAGCCTGGTACCTGCCCAGAAGAATGGAAAGGAGGTCTCAGCAGAAGCAGGGGCCCATCCCTAGTCCTTCAGGAGACCCGCGATAAAGGATTTTAAATAGTAGCTCCTGAGGACAGAGTATGGGTAACTGTCATGAGCCAAAAGACACATCTGCTCTTCACTGTCTGTGAGGGAAGGCATTTTTTAACCCAAGGCCCACACACCGGGTGGCTATCATGAAGGCTAGACTTGTCCACTGCAACCCCCAGGGCTCCTGGAGGAGAGCTGGGTGGCCGTGGCAGGACAGCCTCTCCCCACACAGGTGCTCTCTCTGCCCCACCGTCGGTTGGTCTGCTACTGCCGGCTCTTCGAGGTTCCAGACCCAAACAAGCCCCAGAAACTCGGACTACACCAGCGAGAAATCTTCCTGTTCAACGACCTCCTAGTGGTATGTGGTTCACCCACAAGGCGTCGTGGTGGGACCTCAAGCCTAAGCCCAGGGTCCGCGTCTGGCTGTCTGAATGGGGGAGATGTGCACACACGTGCGGGTGCAGAAAGGGGGTTCTGCCTGGTGTCTCACTCACACTGATGCACGTGGAGACAGACCTCACTGGCTCATGTACAGGTCCAGAGGGGAATCTTTGGCTTTAGTGCAACCTGTTTCCAGAGGCTCTGCCAACGTCACCAGCATTCCCGTGTGCTGTCTGCACCTCTACCCTGTGTGGCACTTCCTCGGGCAGGCCCCTTCCTCAGGCAGGCTCTGTCCAGGAAGAAGAAGGAGGCCCCGGCAGCTCCAGACCTGATCCTGTCTGCTGGGCAACTGTAGAATCCTCTTCCTAGACTGAGGAGAGGTTACAGAGTCAGTCCCTGTCACTACACATCCCTCCCTAAGCCTCTCCGGGCCAGGCAGGTGCAGCGCTTTCTGATTGGCTAGGCCTAGGTCCCAAGCCCCACCTCCTGGAGCTGGTCCCCTCAAAACCTATGGACTGAAGGAAACAAAGGCTGGGGGGGTTCCCCAAAAGGGTATTGAGGAGCTCTTGCCAGAAGAACGATGGCACCGATGGTAGCCAGACGGGGGCAGAAGTACCCACTGCAGAGAGAGGGGAGAGCTTGTCCTTGGGATTTCTGTACCCCCTGCATGCCACAGGCTTTCTTGCCAATGATGCCCATGTTCTTGATTGGGTGTGAGGACTGGCTGCTCCTCTCTGACCACTGATGTTGAAATCGGACATGTAGGTTCAAATGCCTTATGAAGACCTCCTGACCTTGAGTGAATCCCTTCTATCTCTGAGCCTCAGTTTCCTCCTCTGTAAGATTAATCTCTCAGAGGGTAGCAGGGGTCCAGTGAGGTCCTGGACATAAGAGCCTTACATGGTGCCTGGCATGCCCTGGGGACCGGGGAGATGCAAGCTCCCTTCTTCTCTCCCCAGCCCAGCCTTTGGCTGCCACACTGGAAAGTTTCTTCCCTTACTGCAGACCAGGATAGCGGCCAAGGACCGTAGCGGGCCAGCAGAAGTTCAGGGACTGCTAGCCCAGGGCCAGTCTCCCTGCGGGCCGTCACCAGGCATAGCTTCATACTCTGGTTGTTCCCGAGAGAGGAAGCCATGGCGCCTTCTCAAGATCAGCGCTGCTGAGTGCCACCCCTGCCACTCAAGGTGGCAAGCCCCGGTGTTCACCTCACCTGGCTGTGGGAAGGCACTGGAGGGAGCTCCGTGATGCGAAGGGTCTGCCGCCTCTGTGCCCGGTTGTGGGGCTTTGGTGCCAGCAAAGGTGGCATTGGGGTTGCAGGGACAGGAACCATTGTCCAAGTCTTAGAGTGGAAGGCCATGCCCTCCACCCACATTGGCTTGGCCCCGGCCCCGGCCTCCTGACTCTGAGCTCCAGGAGGGTCCTCTGGCCAGAGATTGCATGTAGTCACTACCTCCGGAGACACTGCAGCTCAGCTCTGTCTCTGGCTGCCTCCAGGTCACCAAGATCTTCCAGAAAAAGAAGAACTCAGTGACGTACAGCTTCCGACAGTCCTTCTCCCTGTACGGCATGCAGGTCCTGCTCTTCGAGAACCAGTGTAAGTCGGCCCCAGGGCCTGCCTGGAAGAGTGCATGCCCCAGCTTACGCGCTTTCTCCTGGCTGCTTCGAGGACAGAACCCCAGGGGGCTTCAACACTCACCCCTGTTTTATCCCCAGAGAGCAGATTGCAGCTAGGAGCTCCGGTGAGCAGTAGGCACAGACCCTCAACAGACCCATCAGCCAGTTGAGCCTGATGTAAGAACATTGGACAGACACAGTTTGTTTTTACTAGTACTTTGCTTCTTGCAGGTGATAAGATTTTTAAATTTATGGCAGAAATATATTTATTTAAATAAAATGTTGATAGAAAAACATTAAGTCACATAGATGATACGCAAACATGGCCCAGAACACAGGCAACAGCAACCCCTGAGTGTCCGCAGAAGGGAAGAGCTGAGCTCCTCCGCCTGGGGCAGATCCCAGCTCTGGCTCTGCCGCTGTGTGGCCTGCAACCCTCTGGCCTCTGTTTCCTGGGTCGTAAAGTAGTACCTGCCACAGGGTGACTGTCATAGCTGCTGGAACACAGTGCTTTGCGAGGGTGAGTTTTGATGCCCTGCTGGAAAGCCCTGGGTGAGGCCTGGGGGCCTGGGGATTTAGGAGGCTCACACCTGCAGCACCCCACTGGCTTCCATTTTACCTTGCTCCCCGCACTCTCCACCGTTTCTCTTCCCTCTCCTTTGTCCCTTCCCTGTCAGAAGCTGACCCAGTACTCCTGGGCTGGGGAGCAGGGGGCCACCTGGAGTGTCCTGGGGAAAGAAGTCGAGTGTCCCTGCTTGAGCAGTAGGGGTCCCTCATTCTCTCAGAACTAGACATCACTGTCTGTGCAAGCAGCCTTCCCTCTGCAGGTTTAAACAGTGTCAGGGACCCACAGCCAGACCATCTAAAACCACAGGCCTTGTGCCTGGATCTGGAGCTCTCTGTCCCTTTCCATCTTCAGTGGGACCAAGGACAGTCCAGCAAGATCCCCTGCACTCCCCATGTGCCCAGTGAGGAGCACGGCGTCCCTGCCCCAGCCGCCTCCCTGCCTCCTGGCATCCCTGTCCCAGGCTGTGAGTCATGCCTTGCCTGATGTCTCACATGCCTTGCCCTGGTCCCAGGGGAGGCCATTGCCACCCCCAGATTGTCTTGACCAGCAGTAACCCACTCTCTGAGAGGGTGGCATTGACCCCTGCCTCCCAGGGCTGGGGTGGGAACTTAGTGAGATCCCAGCAGCAGAGCTCCTAGCAGGGGGCCAGGACCACTGTGGACCGTCAGGGCAGAGGCTGCACCTGGATCATGTCTAGGGTCCCAGGGCTTGGCCTTAGATCCTGGACACTGGGTGCTGGCAAGATCCAAGCCTGCAGCCTCTGTAGGAGATGCCGTCACACCAGGAGTCTCAAACTGGCAGCCTGGGAGGCAGGCCCAGCTCCGTTATCTTTTGTATGGTTTGCATATTTTTAAAAAATATGCTGAGCCAGTCTCTTCATTGAAATGTAGATATTTTGGGCCTCTCTGAAATCAATCAGAACTTGGTGTCACTAGGCACATATTCCCACGTGGCAGTAATGGGCTGCATGTGTACATGTGTGCACACGTATGCACATACACAGGAGCACTCTGCAGCTCAGAGTGCACCCACAGGCCCACCTGGCCCACCTAGTCTGAGCCAAAGCGGGCTTGGTGCTTGGTCCAAGAACCTTCAAACATCCTGTGGCTGATGGTCAGCCGGGTGACTCCCGCTGCAGGAGCCGCACTGCCAGGAGACCAAAGCCCCAGGGACGTTGAGAGCCTGAAGGTGGCATCAGGCAGGTCTGGAAACAGGGTTCCTTGGTTGTGGGATGCCCACAGTTCACCCCATGGGAGCTGTGGGCCACAGGCCATTCGGGAGAATATGGCACTCACTGCTGTCCAGAACTGTCTGGGATGACTAGAGAAGACCCCTACCCTCCTCAGGACTCGGCACCTGGCAGAGTACCCAAAGACCTGGAAGTCAGGGGCTTGGTCTCCATGACCTTCAGGTCGGGGAAGAATGGCAGCCCCAGCAGCCTCCCCTGAGCTCGGCCACTTCTGTCCCTGAGTCACATGTGGAGCAACACAGACCATCTTTCCCAAGTCGGGAGATGAGGTTGCTCTGCGTCCCTGCAGCCTGCCACTGCGGAGGCTGGACTCCAGGCACTTAATCCCAGGCTCTGCGTAACTCAGCCCTACTATCGTTTCCTGACCAGAGAGGAGATTGTAGAGAACACACTGAGACCCGTGGGCCTCCTCCCCTCTCCTTCTCCTTTGCAGACTACCCCAATGGCATCCGGCTCACCTCATCTGTCCCCGGAGCAGACATCAAAGTGTTAATAAACTTCAATGCTCCCAACCCTCAAGACCGGAAGAAATTCACCGATGACCTGCGGGAGTCTATTGCGGAAGTCCAGGAGATGGAGAAGCACAGGATAGAGTGTAAGTACCCGGCCTCAAGGGCAGGAGACCGAGACTTGCCGGACCCTGGTGCTTGCCTCCCCATCTCAGGGCAGTGACTTCTGAGGCCACAGAGACAAGATGTCCCCCAGTCTTTTCTGCCCTTCCCTGCGGTCACGTGATGAGGCAGTCTGTGTGCCCAGGCTGCAGGAGGCACAGAAGGGGGTCTGATCTGGGACTCGACCTACCTGTTACCTGTCATGTGCCCAGAAAAGGACCCCGGCTCCCTGGCATCCCGTGCGTGAGAGCCTGAAGTGTTCCCAGCTGGCCTCTGCCCCTCATCATCTTCTGCATCAGGCTCAACAGACTAAGGGGTCACAGCCAAGGCTATCCCTGGCTCCAGGTCTACTCCCTGGCAGCACATGGGACTCCCTGCCACTGCCCCCTCTGTGGAAGGCCCTGGCTAACCCTTGCTCATCTCCCAGACCTAGGCAAGTCTGTGCTTCCCTGTCCACCCCTGAGCTTGAAAGGTGACTGTCCTTGCAGGTCACAAGACCCTCTGGCCTCTCTAACCTCCCTCCTGGAATCTCCTTTATGCTCTTTTGACCAGAGTTGCCATCACACCCTCTCCCAGAAACAACCCTTCCCCACTCCAGGCAGATGGTGGCTCAGGACAGTGCCAGCCCCAAGCAGAAGGCCCCGTCTCCCGCCCACTCTAGGCTGTGCTCCTCTCACCAGGCCCCGCACCCTCTCTGTTCCAGCGGAACTCGAGAAGCAGAAAGGCGTCGTGCGGCCCAGCATGTCCCAGTGCTCCAGCCTCAAAAAGGAGTCGGGCAACGGAACACTGAGCCGGGCCTGCCTGGACGACAGCTATGCCAGCGGCGAGGGCCTCAAGCGCAGTGCCCTCAGCAGCTCCCTGCGGGACCTCTCGGAAGCCGGTAAGAGCTTGGCCTAGAGCCACCTTCCTAGCGCAGTGCATGCAGGACCGAGGCAGGCATCTGCATTCGGGGTGTGCATCGTGCCGGGCGGGGTCTGCGGCGAGGCCAGTGTGGCGTTTTCCCGGGACCTCCCCCAAAGCAGAGCAGCGTCTGACAGCACAGAAAGGGCATCCCAAAGAGACAGAGGAAAACAGGACCAAATTGTTGTCAAAAAGAAAGGCACTGTATGCCAATTAGCTGGGGAAGTCACCCCCATTTTCCCTTTCTTCTTCTAGGGGTTTTATTTAATCGTTTATTGATTTGGGAAGTTGCTCTAGCCCGGAGCGAGCCGCGGCAGTGTCCCGTGCTCTCTCTCTCTGCGGCTGCATCCCTGTGCTTCATGCTGATGAATGAACTCTTGCGGAGCCCTCTAAGCTGTCTGGTGCCCCCTTGCCCGCTGTCCCCGGTCTTGCTTTTCCTGCCGGGCCTTCTTTCCTGGGAAACCCGGGCCTCATCCAGCCCAGAGGCCATTGAACAGCAGCCAGGGCTGGCTCCAGGTCCGGGAAAGCCCTGGTGGGAACTGCGATGTTGTGGTTGTTTCTTTGTTTCTGTGTGTGTTTAATTTGCTGCCAGCTGTTTAACCCCCAAGCAAGCAGCACTCCTGAAACTACCCACGTTCCTGGGGATGGGGCCCCATGAGCAGCAAGGCCCAGGGGCTTTTGCCAGCAGCCTTGGCCCAGCGTCTCCCTTGTGGGGCAGGAGAGACAGGAGGCATGGGCCAGCCGGTGGGTGCCTGCTGCTGCCACGTCAGACTGTTGCTGCCCAAGAAGTGTGGGGGAGGGTGTCCTAGCCGCCCTCCACCAGTCTGTCCACCAGTCAGTGAGCTTCTGGGAGGGGCCCCGGGGACTGCCTGGGGCAGCGGTGGCCTGGCTTATCCTGCAGCAGGTCTGCCCTAGGAGCCTGGTGTTTCTCTTTCAGGAAGACCCCCCTTCCTGGGGTTGCCTGCCCGCCTCGGGACTCCCTCCCATGCCTGCCTGCCAGCAGCCCTGTCTCCCCTCAGCTTAGTCCCTCTCAGGCCCTTTGGAGTCTGCCCTTTTTTTAAGTTGGATTTTTTCCTTTGTTTTCCTTTTGTCATTATTATTATTTGCCATAGTAAAAAATATCAGAAATTCATTGCCAGTCGCCAGCATGAGGGTTGAACCCAGGGCTTCTCAACCTTGGCTTGATTGACATTTTGGGCCTAGTGACTCCTTGCTGGGGGGCTGTCCCAGCCTTGGCAGGATGTTTACCCACATTCCTGGCCTCTACTACTGGTTGCCAGTAATATCTTCCCTGTCGTGACAGTCACTGATATCTCCAGAAATTGCCAGGTGTCCCCTGGGGGACAGAATCACCCCTGGTTGAGAACTACTGGTTTTCCCAGTGGCCTTGTGAAACACAGCTGAACGATGCTGGACTGCTTTGGGCCTCTGCAGGCTGTGGGCTGGGGCCTCTGTTTGAGTTTGTGCAGTGTGGTGGGCCCTGCCCTCTCCCTCCCCTCACGAAGCTGTCCAGCCCCTCCCAGGCAGCAGCAGTTCTGCCAGAACCAAGGCCCTTGAGCCCCATCCACCCCAGGGCCCAGCGGTCAGGACCTTGCTGTCCACTCTCTGCCAGAGCCTCAGGGTTGGATAGACACATGCCGGGCCCACATTCATGTAAGGGGTGGGCCCACGCCCAGCTGCTTTCATGTAATATGATGATTGCTGTTGTCATTTGGGAATTCTGAGATCAGAAGGACAGTAGGGATTGAGACCCCTCCCTAGACCCGCCATTGAAACGAAAGCAGGAACAAATCTGAGACCCACCTGTACCCAGGAGGGTTTGGAGGTGAAGTGAAGTGGGGTTTGAGTCCAGGCAGCTGCCAAGGCCCCAGGCTGGGGAGAGGCCACCTGTGATCTCCCAACAAGACTGGCAGGTGCTGGCAGCCTTCCTGGGGAGGGGCAGGGCCAGCACCAGGAGAGGTCAGATATCGTGCTCCAGACCAGGTGGGGGCTCCAACTCCCCAGCGGCAGCGTGGCCCCACCTCACTCACCACGGCCCTCAGAGCACTGAGCCCAGGCCTGTAACACCACAGTGAGCTTGTGGAAGAGGCAAGCCCTCGGGACAGTGTTCCCTCCATGGTTGGCACGTCACTGCTCCTGGAGCAGGAGACCCTGAGAGCAGCTGCTCCAGGTCTGCACTCGACATCCATCTAGGGGAGGACATACCACAGACATGAAGCTGGGGGACTGATGAGGTGGCCGTGGATGGTGCCCGGAGGAACCCATCCTCAGGAGCTTCCAGAAGCCTCTGTCGTGCCAAGAGTTAGAGGGAAGGGTGCTGGCACCGGCCCCACTGCAGTGCATTGCCTGGTGTCTCAGCCCTGATCTTCCTTGGGCCAAGATTCCTCACCTGGTGCTCATCCAGCAGCACAAGAGCCCTGCTGACCCAAGACCAAGGACCCAACAAGGACTGTGGAAACGGGGGTCAGCCAGATGGTGGGGGACACTAATCAGTCACCCTCCTGCCCCTCCCTGGCCAAGCTGCCCAGCTCTGAGTCCTTACGGAGAGGACCTGCCTGGAGCATTCACCGTGTCCTGTACCAGGAGAGCAGTGACAGGCACCAGTGGTGGGTGGACAGAGCAGCACCCCTGCCACATGTGAAGCGGCTGGGGCCCAGAGAGGGTGGTGTTTCATATCACCCTGGCCACATCCCTCCCCACCATGTCCGGCCCAACAGAGAATAGGGCGCAGCACACAGATGCCAGAGTCAGCCAGCCTGAGCTCATTCCCTACCTCTACCTGCTTTCTCTAGCTGTCAGACCCTGTGGGGCCTATTTCCCTAACTGCTTCGAGGGAGTCAATGCATGGAAAGCCTTCAGGGCATGCCTGGCTCAGGCAGCGCCAGCCAAGTGTGTGTGGCTATCATTTCTGTTTTGGTCACTGACGCTGAGCAAGGCCACCAGCCCAGCCACAGCATTATTGAGGGTCACAGGACAAGGATCCTGGGTGGGGAGGAGAGCACTGCCATGTGCCGCCCTGCCCTGACTCTGAGGAAGCCGCAAAAGTTGTGAAGAACCATCCTGGGAGCCTTCTAGAAAAATGGATCTAGGCCAGGTACAGTGGCTCACGCCTATAATCCCAGCACTTTGGGAGGCCGAGGCAGGCGGATCACCTAAGGCCAGGAGTTTGAGACCAGCCTGACCAACATGGAGAAACCTCATCTCTACTAAAACTACAAAATTAGCCAGGCATGGTGGCTCTTGCCTTTAATCCCAGCTACTCAGGAGGCTGAAGAAGGAGAATCACCATTTGGGAGGCTGAGGCAGAAGAATCACTTAAACCCAGATCACGCCATTGCACTCCAACCTGGGCAACAAGAGCGAAACTTGGTCTCAAAAAAGAAAGAAAAATGGTTCCAAGTCCCTCCAGGCCCTGCCCAGGCTGGCTTGGCCATCCACACTTGTGTGGCGTGAGCCACTATTCTGGCCTGCCTGGCTTCGTCAGCCCATGCACCTGGGCAGGTGTGGGAGGCTGCATATGCACAGGATGTCTGCACAGCTTGCTGTGGGCAGTTATGGTTGAGGGTGTGCCGTGAGCATGGGGCCCTGGGCCTCAGTGCAGAGAGAGCCCTGGGGTCACCCCACATCTCTTGCTGACCTGAGATATTGAGAAAGTGGATTGTAAGACACTCAGTGTCACTCCAAAACAGCCAGTAAAGGACTCCTAACTGTTGGCCCAAGTTGTGCAGGGCAAGGAGGGCCGTGTTCAACTCCAGGTGGGCACACTGTGTGGACCCTCAACCCCAGCCTTCAGGCCTGGCCCAGGTCCTATTAGAAGCAGTAGGCTGGCCAGGAGTTGCCGGATACAGGCAGGGGAGGCCATCTTCCCTCTGCCCCTGTTTTTCAGCCAGAGTAGTCCCAGGCCTTGGAGGGGCTAGAGAGCTGATTTTAAAAACCTAGAGACAGCAGTGCTCTGTCCCTCCACATTTCCACATGGCGCCACAGTGTCCTGAGTGTCTGATGGCCGTGGCCACCCAAGAGGAGGATGGAGGAGGGAGGCTGTGTCCTGGAAGGCTGGACTCTAACTCTGCTCCATGTCCTTGGATCACTGTGTTGGGCAGGAAGTGAGAAAGGTCCGCCCCTCTTCCCACACTGGCTGAAAAATGAGGAAATGTGAGCCTCCTTTCTTCTGGCTTGGAATTAGGGGCAGGGTACCACCTGGCTGTCCTTGGTGCTCAGCAGCTGGTGTTGAGCCCTCTTGCCCCAGTGTGCGGTGCGGTGCGGTCCTGTCCCGACAGTAGTCCTGAGGGCCACGTCACACAAGCCAGAGCTACCCAAGGCTCCCTGCTGACCCCAACTCCCACCTGGACCTCTGGTTTGGGGTCGGCAAGCAAAGCAGAGGATCTGGACTCCCCTGAGTCTGTGGCGATGCCAAGGCACAGCCCATCACACTCAGATGGCATGGAGCAGCTTGAAGCCCACTGCACTCGCTCCACCCATTGCTGGCTGGTGGCCCTGGGCTGGCTGGGAGGTGCAGCAGCTTTCCTCAGAGGCTGGGGATGGGGCACAATGGGGAGGCCCAGCAGTTGCTTCCTTATTCTGGGCTCCTGGGCCCACCCCGTCCTGTGGTCTAGCTCTGAAGGCAGCATGGCCAAGCTGTCCAGCCTTAGAGGTGGCCAGGTGGGCAGTTCTGGGTGTGAACCCTGCTGCCTGTAAGAATTGGGCCTCAGTGTCTCCCTCTCTGACATGGACACAGCATCACCTATAGGGTTGACGTGTCCGACATGGTGCTCAACACATGGCAATGCTGCCCAGGTGGAAGCTTCTAGAACATCAAGCAGGGAAGGCTGTTTCTCCCTCCGTCTTCCCATCCCCGCTCCCAGAGAGCTAGCCAGAGCCCAGGCCCCTAGGGCTGGGCCCCTGTGATGCTCCAGGCTTGGTGTTCCTCAAAAATCCACAGAGAAGTTCTCAGGAGGGACTGTGGAGGCGGAGCCGGGCTGGGCCCTGGGCACCAGAGCCAAGAGGAAGACCCAGCCTTGCTCTGACGGAGCCTGCATGCCAAGTGCCTACTGTGTGCCCTGTGCTGGGGCATGACGAAGATGCTGGTGGAGACCTCCTGGCTTAGGGAAGGCTTTGTGGCCCCCTGGGGGTGGTACCAAGCAGTGGAATCCCAAACTGGAATGCATTTCACCCAGTAGCCCCCAACCCTGTCTCCTGCCCCTGGCCAGGGCACTGCACATACCAAAACTGAGTTCCTGCAGGCAGCCGGGAGGAAGCGGCCATGTGAAGCTGTTTTCTCTTCACCCTCAGTGCTCGTCCTGCCATGGAGGTGGGGGTATATATGTGTGTGTGAGGATATACACATATATACAGCAGCCACTGAAGATGAGCGTGCAGGACCTGCCATGCTGTTTTCAGCTATGCGGAAGCTGCCCGCACCCCTCCCCGTTCACCAGAGTCAGGGTGAACACACGAATTGAGGGCATCGGGCCCACCTATACATATGCCTCATCCTCAGGGCCCCTCTCAACAGACTGCTGGTCCAGGAAAAGGTGTCTAAAACTGGGGCTAGTTTAAAAAAAAAAAAAATTTTTTTTTTTAAACTTCATTTTTTAAATTCATTCCTGCACTGCTGCTGGCTGCCCCACTGAGCCCCTCCTCTGACCCCTCACACCTGGCTCCTGCGGGCAGATGGGCCCAGCACCTGTGCCTGCTCCTGGCAAGGGTGCGGGCTCCGTGGCAACAGCGTGGTGCCAGGCAGGCAGTGCCCCCGGCCTTGTGTCCCCGTCTAACTTCTGGTATTGCATGTTCTGGGCAGGGAAGCGAGGGCGTCGCAGCAGTGCGGGATCGCTAGAGAGCAATGTGGAAGTAAGTAGGAAGCGCCTCCGTCCAGCTGGCTGTCCTGTGTCGCCTTCCCCCGTCCTCGGTTCATATCTGTTGTCTTGTTTTTTTTGTTTTGTTTTTTTTTGCTCTTCCTTCCCCTACTGCACAGAGATGCAGACACCCCTTCCCCACCCCTGCCTGCCTGGGACCCTGTGCATGTCAGCTTCTCCTCCGTGCCTAGAAACATCCATGCCTCTCACCGCTTGTTTTGGACTGAACAGTGCGGGTGGTTCTGGATTTTGTGTTTTGGTTTCTGCTTAACCCCGTCACCTGTGGTCCCTAAGCATGGTTGACCATCCCCAGCTTCCAGTGCCCCCGCCCAGGCCACCCTGCTCCCACTCACCCTCCACACTCACTGTTGGATGTTTTTGCTGAACCCTTGACTTCCATGCCCGCCCATCCCCATCGCTTTCTTCTTGGAGTTTGATTGCTGTGTGTCTGCGGCAGGACACCATGGAATTGCTTAGCTTGTGGGAGGTGGAGTGTCTTGAGAGAAAGAGAAATTCATTGTGGATTTCATGATATTTCACTCATCCTCCGGCCATCTCTGTATTACTACTGTTCACATCTCTACCTCAGCTTGCAGATCTTTTTCTGTTTCCTCCTTTTTCCTTGTTTGGTTTGCAGTAGGCAGCTGCAGTGAAATTGCCTAGGCAGCCCGTGTCCCCAGAGGACAAGGTTTCTGAGCCCCACTGTCCCTGTCACCACCTCCCCTGAGGTCTGAGGACCAACATGGGCTGAGCACATGCCCTGAGCCCAGTTGAGCGGCCCCAGGAGAGCTGAGGGCCTGTTTCAGCAGGAGTGGGCTCCTCTTCCAGGCACACCAGCCCCTCTACACTCACCACACACAGCGCACAGACACCCCAACCCAGGGGTTCCTATCTGAAACCTCAGGCTGCTGCCAGGGCCAAAGCTCTTGTCAAAATGAGACCGGAAGTACTCATTGTGCTGCGGCGGTCAGAGAGGCAGGCCCCTCCCCTGCCCTCACCCCCCACTTTGGTCAAGGCCAGTCACCCCCAGCTGCCCTGCACTGTAGTGAGAGGAGGTGGGGCCCAGTCCAGCCTCACTCAGCCCTGCCTTCTGGCCAGTGAGTTGAACTAAGGCTTAGCAATCAGTGGGTGAATTTTTACATTTAAAAAAAAAATCATTCTGACCTAAGTGCTTGAAGATCTTTTAATTTTGATTTCTATGAATTTCCTTTTTAGGGGTCCATCATTAGCAGTCCTCACATGCGCCGGAGAGCTACATCAACACGAGAGTGTCCATCTCGCCCACACCAGACTATGCCCAACTCATCTTCCCTCCTGGGCTCCTTATTCGGGAGCAAGAGAGGGAAGCCCCCTCCACAGGCCCACCTGCCCTCAGCCCCAGCCCCGCCACCCCCTCACCCACCGGTGGTCCTGCCCCACCTGCAGCACTCCGTGGCTGGCCACCACCCAGGGCCCCCTGAGGGGCTGCCGCAAGCCCCCATGCATAGGCATCACACCCAGCACTGCCACATGCAGCAGAACCCACCCCCCTACCACCACCACCACCACCACCACCCGCCCCAGCACATCCAGCATGCACACCAGTACCACCACGGCCCCCACGGGGGGCACCCAGCCTATGGGGCCCACGCCCACGGCCATCCACCGCTGCCCTCGGCCCACATGGGGCACGCAGCGCACCACCACGGGCAGCCCCCTGCCCCGCCGCCCCCCACCAGCAGCAAGGCCAAACCCAGCGGCATCAGCACAATTGTGTAGACAGCCTGGGCGGGGGTCCCAGGCTCCCTGAAACAGCTGCACACTACACAGGGCACGCCGAGGGGCCGCCAGCCGCACACCAAACCCGGGGCACTTCCGTTGCCATCTCTCCCCTCTGCCCCTCACGGCCCAGCCGGAGCCCCAGGAGCCCACAGGGCTGGTGTTGTGTGGAACAAAGGTCCAGATTTCATTTAGCGTTGGCACCCTGGTCCCCGCTCACCTCAGTCTGAGGGATGGATGGGACTCAGCCACCGTCAGCCTTGAAACGGTGCCACCAGCCAAGTAGATGTTGAACTGCCTCCCCTACTCCAGCTCTCAGCTCCCTGCGCCCTAATTTACATGCATATGAAAACCCAACCTAGAAAATGAAGACATGAGATACAAAAACAGACAAAACAAACCCCAAAACTTGCTGCATTATTGCTCTTTTATTGACAATGGGCAAAAAATTAAGTAGACCTGATATGGTTGATGAAAATACGTAAGTAAACTTTATATAATATAAATATATAAATATATAAATATATATATATATATACTATATAGGTAGTACTTGTGTGTGAAAGGCAGGCATTTCAGCCCACAACATTAGCAATACCCACCTTACAAGGAACTCCACGTACCTAATAGGAAGACAGTCCCTTAGTTGGGTGTGTGAGACAGTAGACCAAACCCTAAATGGTAGGAACAAATTCAGATACTTCATATTTTCATACAGAGAAAGAAGTCCCTCTAGGACTGGCTAAAATCTTTACACAATCATTACTAACTGTGCCAAGTAACATAGCATCTAACTGTTTAAAAAGTCCAGTATTGCTTTGTATAAATCCTTATTTTATTAACAGAATACTATCATAAATAGTCAGTATTATAATGCTGTGTTATTTCAGGTAAGCAACTAGCTAAACTGCAGTACACTCTACAGTAGCAACTCAGGACAGCTGGTGACAAGCTGGTTGTCTTAGGACATTGGTTACACAGATTCTTAGACACTTTAACGGCTGCGATAACTGTGAATCTCCATGATCCATGTTTCCTTTACGCGCATATGATTTAATGCACACTCATTCAGAGTCCTCCGAGAGGGGCACCCATACACGGCAGAAGTGTTCATCTCCAACATGAAAGTGACCAGCTCTCATCCTCGTCTCCCCAACACCATAACTTCCTCATCCGCCTCCAACCCACACCAGGCCGAAGCCCTCAGAGAGTGTCTCCACCAGGGACCACTCTTGAACCTGAAGGTTGACTTTAGCATTTAGCAACCCAGGGCGGTGTGTGTGTTTCCTGTTTTGTTTTCTGAGTGGTAGCAGTGATCATCGTAATTCCATGTAGCCATGTGCTAGCAGAACCCCTGTGTCATCACCGTGGCCCCTGTGACCCCAGCCGACGAGTGCCCGGCGGAGCCCCTGCTGCCTTCCCATGGTACAGTGAGCTGCCAGGGCATCACATGACTCAGCTGTGCTCTTGTTGCTTCTGTGTTGTGGTGACACCATGCGCTCCCCGGGGCCAGACGCTGCACGCAGCGGGTCTGTGCCCAAGTTACCCACGGGCCATACTTTGTAGTTTCAGCGTTTCGAGCCACTGCAGCCGTCAGTGCTGTGCTCCTAAACCATGGGACCCGAGGACTGCCCCCCGGCGCCTGCCCAGGCGGAGGCCCTTTCAGAAAGGGTGAAGCTCACGCCTGACTCTGCGGGCCGCGGGGCCGCGTGCTCGGTGGACGGCGTGGTGAGCCGTGGCCGGACGGCAGGAGGAGAGGGGAGAGCCCCCTCCGGCTGTGTGTCACCTTGGCTGGCTGGCTGGCCAGGGTTTTGCCGATTTCCCTCCTCATATCCCTCCCCTCGGTCATATCATTGAGATCACCGTACCAGCAAATCTGCAAACCAAGCACTTTGTTAATCTCCACAGAGAGCAAATACAGCAATCTAGTTTAGCCTTTTGAAAAATAAGTGTGACTTTAACCCCTGTGCCCTCCCATCGACGTGGCATTTCTTTCTTTGGTGTCTGCTCAGAAAGAAACAGCATGGGAGCATGTGATTGGGTCCAGGATGGGCTGCGGGGGAAGCGCCCTGGTGTCCCCGACTCCTCAATTATTGGGTCTTCCTTAAAAGCCAGGCTCCCCAAAGCACTCTTTGTCTTGCGGTTTCAAGGAGGTTGTTCTGACCTGGAAGTGTTAAACTGCTGCATGTCATCCAGCGGCAGCCGTGAGGCTGCGCTCTACGTATTGTACATTTGCAAAATGTATTGGTGTGACTGTAGACACGTCGTTGAAGTAAAGTGATCACATATTGAGTATGTCAGCTTTTCTCACCCTCTTCTGTGCCGAGGGGAGACTCACTGTAACCTTTAGGTTGTTCCAGAAAAGATTCGGGCCGTTTGGCGCAGAATTGCTCTTTCTGAAGGGCAGCACTAATGAATAGGAACAGACAGGAAACCCCAGGAGGGGCTTTCCCTCTCCCTCGCCATCCTGCAAGCCCCATGGCCTCAGGCTGCCAGCCTCTGGCACTGTCCTGGGTGTGTACTGGAGCCGTGCCGGGCAGCAGGCCTGGGCCTCGCCTAAGTTGCTGCTAGAACCCACTGAGCCCCTCAAGGGGTTTCGAGCTGCACTCAGTGTGTTCCTTCAGGCCAGGGAGGTTTCATCCTGTTTTATTTGCAAGCTTATGAAAAGTTTGTGGAAGATACATTGTTGGTGGCTTCCAGAGGCTGGAGGCATGCTGCCCACATCTTGTTTGGGAATCAAAAGCATTCAGTGAACTGGTGTTTCCATGTGTCTTTCATGGGAATGTCCCCTCTAGATTCCCACCTGTCACAGCTATAGCTTCGGGGTCCTGGCATCACATTCCCCAGGAGGGGAGGTAGGGGAGGCCAAGGGCCCCAGGATGTCTGCCTGGTCCCTTCTCACTGTGAGGATGCCCTTGGCACACCTTTCTCAAGTCACACAAACTATTACAGTTACATACAAAATTGCTGACAGGAGTAGGAGACCCTGAGGGGAGCAGCTGGCAGTGTGACAAAAGTCTTTTCTGGGACAACAATCAAATCATGTATTTGTATTTTTTTAAGTTTACCAATGAATTGTACAACAATGTAAAAATAAAGTTCATCCTAATATGATGTGCACATCTTGCTTAAAAATGTCTTCAGCACCCAGTGTAGAGTGATCTTTCCCTCACACACTGCATGCGGCAGGAGCCTCTTGTTTTTCTTAACAATGAGCTGAAAAGACAGCAGATGTTCACAGCTGAGGCAGGGTGTTGACTCAGCTCCACGGGAAGCTCTGTGCCCGCAGGTAAGCACGCACGTCTTACAGTTCTCCTTGTAAAATATCATCACCCTTCCTGCCTGAGAAACGAGTGCATTTGTATTTTATATAACAACAGTAGTCAAGGTTGCAGCACTGAGCAGGGTGCAGTGGGGGTGCTGAGCACAGGACGAGCAGGAGGAGGCCTGCCCTCCCCTCAGGCGCATCCGCGTCGCCCTTCTGTGTGCAGTCACGTTGAGACTGCGTACAGCATGCGTCTCCTCTTGGGAGATGTCTTTTGCCTCCGAGTTGTTTGAAGCAATTAGAATCAGGTCCTGAATCCCCAGACTGTTCAGAGACTTCAAGGGACACCTCCCTCACAAGAAGCCTGGCACCCACTGTGTACTTTTGGAAGGAAAGGAGTGCGTTTGTTTTCATCTGCATTCTGTTTGTCAGTGGTAACAGACTTTTATCGATGTAAAACCATGGCTGTGATCATGTGGGGAATTCAAATAAATCCTTTGAAACTCTCAGATTCTCACTTTTTCTGAAAAGTCCAGAATTTGCCCTGTTGGCCAGGCCCAGATCTCTAGCTGATGAGTTTACCCGTTCCTTCTCGTGACTCTGGGCACTCACTTCCCTTAAAGACATTGGACTGACTTGACTTTGAGGACACGGACACAATTTAAAGGGACACATCTTGACCAATAGAAGATTTCAAAGGTGTTTATAATTTCTAGCAGCTTTCAACAAATGATGGTCCTTTCGTGGAGTTAGAGGGGATGAATTCTATTAAGTGTTGAGGTACACTGGGAATGACTTAGGGAAAAACAAAATACCCAGTGGCCTAGTCCCCAGTAAAGGTGGATGATGACATGAGGTCAGAGCAGTCTGCTGTTCCATATTGGCTGATCGCATTTGCAGAAGCCTAGATGGTAAAGTTATTCTGGAAGGAAGAGGCCTGTGAGGATGCAATTGTCCTGGCCAAAGGTAGTTCCTGAGAACACCACTTTAAATTTCAGTGCATGGCATAAGATGAACTGGCACATCTAACTAGTGCAAAACAAAAAAGTTAATTCTAGTGACCAAAATGAACTCTGGCTGTCCCTCCATACAGAAGTGCATTCTGATTGAAAGGTGTTCTCACGTGGGCCCCCTCTTCCAGTCTCATTCATAGCCCCTGCTGGCTCATCCGGACTGAAACCAGGAAACCAGCCATTTGGGTGCACACACACACTGCTGCCTTGTACGATTCCTGTCTCTGCAGCTGGGAGTCCAACCCTTTTACAGACCATTCAAGGGCTCTTCAAGAGAAGCTGGTTACAAAAATCCCCTGAAATACCCAGTTCTGCCTCAGGGTTTGATTTTTACGACACAGATCTGCAGCCCATGAGCTGCTGGAGGTGGGTGAGCTAGGCCAGGGCTCCGAGGCTGTGATCTGAGGACTGTGTGTGTCTCTCCTGCCCAGAGATTGTGAGCTCCATGATCCGCCTGTGTGTGTCCAGTGACAGCCCAGGACTGGGCTTATCAGCATGCATGTGAAAATGACTGGATGGTTGGAAGAAGCAGGGGCTCAGGTCACACCACCACCAGCAGCTGGTCTTGGAGGGTACAGATCATTGTTATTATTAAAAAATGTATGGAAACTGGTTTGCTCATCCCCCCCCCCCCCCCCTTCCCTTGACACTGAGAAGTGCGGCTGGGAAACACCTGACTCAGAACTTGAGAGTGTGTTTCCTCCTCCCTGGCTGCACATGACTTCTCTGCCACTGAATCCCAGAAACATGTTTAGCCCCTGCTTCACCTGACCCCTCAGCAGCTGTGACTGATGGTGCCCGCCTTCTTAAAAAGCTGGTTCCCAGGTACCTCTGAGCCATGTGCCCTTCCTGCTCCCTGGCAACTCCTTCAGTCTCCTGTGCAGGCCTGTCCTCCTCCACGGAGCTCTTGTGTGGCTTAGGTCAAGCCCAAGCCCTCTTCCTCCCTGTCCCCTCTCCTGAGGCACCTCACACAAGCCCCCAGTCTCAGTCCACCTTCTGCATGCCCCTGGCTTCCACATGTCATCTCCAGCCCAGACCTCTACTGTGAGCACCCACGTACCCTTGGTGTTTCTGACAGCCCCACAAGCCCCCATGGCCAGGTTCTCCATCGTATAGCCCCATGCAGCAAAAACCGGGTCCTATCCTCTTCCCCGTCTTGGTGAATGACATCACCATTGACTTGTTTAAACCTGAACCCAGGGTTGCTTGTGACCCTCTCCCTCGTGTCTCATCCGTCTGTCCCCAAACCCTCTTGAATTGTGCCTCCTGCTTCTGGAATCCATCCGGGCCTCTTCACACCTCACCCCGCTGTAGGCCCTCATGTCTCTCTCCTGGACTACAGCTCCCTGCCATGGCACTGGCCTTCCTGGGGGGACCCCATCTATTCCTTAGGTGGCATCAGAGCCTTTTTTTTTTTTCAGACAGGGTCTAGCTCTGTTGCTGAAGCTGGAGTGCGGTGGTGCAGTCACAGCTCACTGCAGCCTTGACCTCCTGTGATCCTCCCACCTCAGCCTCCTGAGTACTTGTGACTACTGGGGCGCACCACCATACATGATGAGAGGTTTTTTGTGTTTGTAGAGATGGGGGTCTCACTATGTTGCCCCAGCTGATCTCAAACTCCTGGACTCAAGCAATCCTCTCACCTCGGCCTCCCAAAGTGCTGAACAACAGCCGTGGGCCACTATGCCCAGCTGCCTAGACATGGAATCATTTTGTTAAGGTGTTCCTGCTTAAATCATATCCGTGATTTCCTATTGCCCTTAAGGAGGAATGAAATCTCATCCCTCACATGGCCCCTGCCTGCCCCCAACAGTCACATTCCCCTCACATTCCAGCCATACCAGCCTTGATTGTTTTGTTACTGTTCATGCCTGTCCTTTGACAGTAAAGGTCAAAAAGTCAAGACAGTGTCTGTCTTTGAACATGCTGTAATCTCAACGTGGAACACCAAGCAGACTTCTAAGTGGATGCTGCGGGAGCACAGCAGGAAATATGCTACAACGCATGACGCCACGTGGTGGCAACATGAGATCAGGGCCCAGGAACGGGGGTGGAGCCTGCGCTGGCAGGGCCTTGGGGCCCAGTGGCACTCCTTGTTAAATAAGTAAAAATTGGGGCAGTGGTTGGAGGCATTGTTTTTTAACTTATGTCAAGTGTCTTTTAACGCGTAGTAAATCTAGTGATTATAGATTGATGAAAAACAGGAAAAAAATGTCCCCGCAATCTTACTACCTCAAATCACATGTAATGGAGTATGCAGCTGACTGTTCTTCCCTCGTCCCTCCACACATATTTCTCAGTCACCTAGTTTACATCTCTGAAGGGCTTCCAAAGGGTAGCGTCAGTGTTGCTTGGTGCCCCGGGTGGAAAGTGTCATTGGTCACACACCTCTAGGGAACGATGCCTTGCACGCAGTTCAATGCATTTCTTTCTGCTGGGCCTTTTAGAGCCTTTGGAAGAGATGGTGTGTGTATATGAATGAATCTCTGAATGATAGCCTGTGCATTCTACAGAATACAGTTCAGTAACAGTGTGTGTGAAAATGCTATTCTTTTTCCCTTAATCTATTGTGAGGCAATGGGAGACTCAACAATGTATAATGTCACATAACATTCCACCTTATGGATGCCCCATAACGTGTTGAGCCATGCAGATAGTGTTGTGTTGGTGAACAAGGATCAAACAGAAAGAAATAATCAAGTTTCTGACAGAGTTCGTGATTCCGGCGAGGGCTGGGGGCTGGAGAGGGGGACACCATGGTTTAACCTCAGCTCTAAGTTCCTGGGATGACCATGGACCCCGTGTTGGTGCTGCTGGAGGCCAGGTGTCCCCTGAGATGCCTCTTAGCTCAGTGCATTCAGTTCAGTGCCCACTTTTCAAGAGACCCCATCTCACCGCTCAGCCCAGAGAAGGCCTATGGTAAGACCAGGGGGCTGCTGATGGCGGGCATGGGGCAAAGGCCACCCACCCTCATTTCTAACATGGAGCTTCAGAGCTTTCAAGGCCCTCAGGGAAAGCTTTCTTCCTTGTCTGTTATTCCTACCACACCCACACCCACACCCACACCTGCACATTCAGGTGTTCCAATTAAATCTGAAAGGCAGGACCTAAAGCACGTAGTCATTCTCCATGTAGTTAATAGGGAAGAACGCATTCTAAAACATACCAGAGGATAATACCTGCATTGGAATCTCTTCTCACATCCCCTGAGAACTTTTGAAAGAACAAGTATGGGCCAGGTGCAGTGACTCACGCCTGCAATCTCAGCCCAGGCAATATAGTGAGACCCCCATCTCTACAACATCAAAATATTAACCTGGCATGGTGGTGCATGCCTGTATTTCCAGCTACTCTGGAGGCTGAGGTAGGAGGATTGCTTTAGCCAGTGAATTCAAGGCTACGTGAGCCAACATCACCCCACTGCACTCCAGCCTGGTCCACAGAGCAAGACCATGTCTCCAAAACAAAAAAACAGAGTCACCTATAGCTGTCAGACCTACATTGTGTTTGGGAGAGAGCGAAAACCACGAAATTCACTTAAAGGTCAGTGGGAAAATAAACATCTTAGAGTGGCAGAGTTGATGTAGAATCACTTGCCAGGGCGGGGTACAGGGGCAGGGGTGATGCACAGCGGGAGGGGGTGAGGGGATCCCCATGGAGGTCCTGGGTGCAGGGGTGAGGTGTGCACAGCTGGAGGGGGTTGGGGGTCCCAGTGGAGGTCCTGGGTAAAGGGCAGGGGAGTGGGGTGTACAGCTGAAGGGGTTTGGGGGTCACCATGGAGGTCCTGGGTAGAGGGCATGGATGGGAGGGTGCACAGTGGGAGGGCATGGGGAGTCCCCATGGAGGTCCTGGGTGGGGTGCACGGGTGGGGTTTACACAGCCAGAGGGGGTGTGGGGTCCCTGTGGAGGTCCTGGGTGGGGTGCAGGGCCAGGAGGATGCACAGCGGGAGGGGATGGGGTGGTCCCTGCGGAGGTGAATTGCATGGAGCAAGAGGAGGTAGCCGCCCTGAGAGGAGAAAGATAATCTGCTACGCAAGAGCTACAGGAAGTGCCCAGGACAGGCCGTGGGGCCAGAGGCACCTCGGAAGGGTGTCTGGGAGCCTTGGTGATGAAAGGCAAGAAGGAAGCAGCTAAAGAGGGGCCTCAATCACAGAGACGCCGTCAAATTATGGGAACCGCAATTCACCTTAGCAGCGAAAGAGGGCGTGATTGCACCGCCAAACCCAGAAAACCACCTGCATGTTTTTAAAGAGAAAGGGAAAGGCAGAGTCAGCTGCTGCACTGTTAGCAGGTGAGAGTCTGGTGATTTTATTGCAGCTGACAGTGCTCAATAATAGCACGAGGCCAGTTAGGAAAAGCAGGCACTGTGGGCAATAGCAGAAGGCGCTGTTAGTAAGGCAGCCCTTGTGATGGGTCATTTTACCAGTCAGCTTGACAAGGCTAAGGGATGTCCAGAGAGCAGGGCAGATTACTTGAGGCCAGGAGTTTGAGAACAG